TAGACAATGATATCAATGACTTGGGGCTAGAGCTGACCTTCTCGGTGGAAACGGACGTATTTGGAGCAATGGAAGAAGTGCCTTTGAAGCCGGGTGGTGCAAGCATAATTGTCACACAGGAGAACAAAGTGAGTCATTGGGGATTACGTTTGTCTGGGGTGATTCTGAAAGGTAGCCCCCTTCAATTGGTATACTAACTGCAAAATTGGTTCTAATAGGCAGCTTTTTCCTAGTGTGTTGAGAAATTAAACCAGAAATAAGAAGCAACCATGGCTACCAAATGTTATGAGGTATCATACAGAGTCTGTTTAATACGCCAGGCATATTCCTTTATTGGTTCTGAAGTGGCAGTGTTTAATAAAACAATAAAACATATGTAGCCTTCTTCTGTGCCTCTTCTTTAATAGTATTCTCATTCCCCTTTCTTATCTATGCTTTGAGAAGCAATTCAGTCCTAGATTTCTGTTTACATGCCACTACTTTATACAACTTTTATTTTCATGTCATATTAATAGCCTTTTTAAAGTCTTTAGAAACTTGTTTAGTGTAGTTTTTTTAAAATTTGTGCCTTCAAGTAGGTGTTGTACTGAAGTTTTCTTGGCAAGATTTCAGAAGTGGTTTGCCATTGTCTGCTTCCTAGGGTTGAGTGCATAAGTAATGCTATTTCCATTGATTTCAGTGTCAAAGGCATTGCTGAAAAGTTTTGATCATATTCCATTTTCAATAGATATTTATCAGATTTAAAACTAAAAATCCATATGTATGTCTTCCTATGTACATTTATTGCAGGTTGCCAAATCTTGTATGTCTGTTAGGAAGACGCATATAATACAGTATGAGTTCAGTTGGTCAAAATTAGAATTAAATCCATGCAATGGTATGAGATAAATTCATGATAACTAATTTGAATTCCTGTAGATTTTTGTGAGTCTAATCTATGATTAACTAATCTGGATCCAGGCTTACTCTTGATGAGTGAAACAAATAATAAAACAGATATTTCATTTTTACTTTATTAAGGATGTATAGAAAAGGTATGGTTTTGGTATGGTTTTAAATAGTGTAGATTGCAAATAGTGTAGATTAAATATAATTAAGACAATTATATTTTTGTAAGATTTTTGGGGTAATATACTTGATACTATTATGAAGTATTTGCAAAGGATCTTTCACGGTCTGCTGTTTCTTTTCCATTTTGTCTTTTGTGCAATACTGCATTTTGTTAGACTAACCACTTGCCATGCTAGTTGGTGACCACTTGGTGTCTCTTTATTTTTATCTCCTCCCTTTTAGCTTTTGTAATGTCACAACCATTTATTATTTGTTTATTTGGTATTTGATCTTGATCAGTGTGAGTGATTTATGGGAGCTAGTTCCATATTCTGCAGGTGATGCAAAGGTATGGATTCAGGTGTTTGAAGAACTATGTTGGAATAGGCATATCGGAGAATAAGCAAATGCTGAAGTGAATCTGATTGTTTATCTGAAGGTTTGTGAATAATAATAATAATAAAAAACATCAGCCACAACTAGAATTCACAGTTGCCATAATTACTAGAATATGCAAAAAACTGGAATTCTACATTGAAAGATGAATAGACATGTCTTTATTCCTGCATGTTTTCATTAAACTGCAGATTTGAAAAGAAAAATCACCTCTTTCTTATCACATGTCTCCTGACTTTCCCTCTCTTTATTAGTTTACATTATTGAGGAAACCTTGAAATATCTTTAGTGCCAGTTTGATTCTGAGGGAAAAGTTACTTAATGATTTATGTGGTTAGAAAAATATAATTTTTAAATATTTCCATTGCAATAGACAGCTATAAAATGCGGTTTCCCCTGCAAAATGGGGACATCTGTGTAGAGATGCTCCACCTTCAGTATTGTAGCTGTTGCCTCGTGAGGGGGAGCTCACTATGTTTACCCTGCTTGAAAAATCTCAAATCATACTGACAAAAAGCTAGAGCAAGTAGATGAATTTTTACTAAACATTTACTAAAATGAGGAAACGGAACTTTTAAGATATGAAAATGTTGGTAGAATGTTGTGGGTAGTATGCAGTGTTTTGAGAGGGATAAATGTTTGCTGAAAGAACTTGGATCAGTTCATTCCTGACTCATACTTTGAAAGTACAAGTTGGAATGTCACGAAAAACAAAAGTTAAAGTTGCCATCTGAATTGCTTCCTTAGGGTGTGTGTGTTATAAAAAAGAAGAGGGCAAGAACATATGAATGCTGAGTGAATCTATGCTAAATGCCAAAGAAATGAATGACCTGAAGGGATGAAGGTTTGCTTATATAGAGAGAATTTATTTATTTATTAAATTTATATACCGCCCTATCTCCCTTGCGGGACTCAGGGCGGTGAACAGGCGATACTAAAAACCACGATAATAAATAAATAGTTTGTTTTAAAATCGAATTAAATAACAGGCCTGTTCTAAAAACACACCCGTAAACCCCCCCCCACTGAAACATAATCAATACGCCAGGCCGGCCGCACGGAATAGATGGGCCTTCAGGGCTCGGCGAAAAAGGCGCAGGTCCGCAACTGTACGTAGGTCGGGGGTAGGTCATTCCAGAGGGCAGGAGCTGCCACAGAGAAGGCTCTCCCCCTGGGGGTCGCCAGCTGGCATTGACTGGCCGACGGCACTCTAAGGAGGCCCTCTCTGTGGGAGCGGACTGGTCGAAGGGAGGTGTTTGGTAGGAGGCGGTCTTGCAAATACCTAGGTCCATTGCCATGGAGCGCTTTAAAAGTGAGTGAGAATCAGATTTTAAGGAGGAGAAGTAAGAGGAGGAACAAGTGAATGCCCTGAGAGGAAGGGGAGACAAAGAAAGTTGTTATTGGATGGAGTTGATAAGATCTTGAAAAAGAAACAATAAAAGGTTTTTACATGATTCCATACATGCAGTATAGTTTTTTCTAAATTAACTTGAAACTGAAATACATTAGATTTGAAGCTCAGGTTAAATCCTCCCATTTCGTGGCATCTCTGAGTAATGAAACTGAAATAATGTTTTGCTAACAATTAAATATGTGCAATGTAGGCTTCTCCAAGGTGTGGGGGGAATGTGGGGGATGCAGAGTAATCTGTTATGACTTCTTCAATGGAAGAGCTTTGAAGGAAAGATGTTGAGTCCTTTCCCTGGAAATATAATTTAATTCTAAATATATTGGCACATAATACTTCCCCCCCCCCCTAAAATTAGAATTTTAAATATACCTTTCACCAAGATCTCCATATCTGGCTTTCCAATATTTCTCAGGCTTTTATAGATTATCTACTAATAACAGAGGAAAATAATGAAACTTATTTTATCTCGTTCCCAAATCAACATTATTGTACTATTGTACAAAACACATTATCCGTGTGTACCCTCAGATGGTGCAGCAGTATTTCCTAATTCTGTGTCCACATTCTTTTCCTAGGCTTAGATAAACTTTATATGTGATTCGTGGCAATAAATTTATTCTTGTGCTACTGCCTACATATCCTATCTGTCGGAAAAAAAGGAGGATCAATTACAATTGTAGAAGTTAATTATGGAGATTTACTTTTAGATTGCAGAAACAGAGGCTCCTATCTTCCCCTACTAGTATAGCCCAGTTGAATATTGTGAATATATGGAAAAGGCTCTCTTGAGCATATTAATATCTTTTTTAATTCTTTTATTTCTTCCTCTTCTTTTTATTTTATTTAGAACTTGAATAATAAGATTTTGGCATTGGCTTTTTTTTGTACATAGGTCATTCTATAAAGCTCCATATATTCTGATTATACAATAGCATTAGCGATGCTATTATTTTATGTGTGTAGCAAGTGATTTCAGCATGACAGCATACTTAAAAGCATAGTGAAATTCTTTCATGTAGTATAATTCTGCTTACTGCTGGTAAACCTTCACTGGCATTAGAAAACAGCTTTGCAGATGGAATTCATTAGACATAGGCAATTGCTCTGCTCATATCAGAGGAGGCTTAGGTGTTGATTTTTGAAAAATCCAGTTGTGATGTAACCTTTTTCTGAGAAGAGAGTCTGTGTTTATCAGATAACTATGAAGAACATGATGAAGAGAGCAAGACTGCAGTTTGAGGTTTGTTGGTGAGGAAATATCTGCTTACTTGGCCAGATAAATTATACTCAAGGTGTGAGAGGATGCCTTTATGTGTTATTTTTGATAATTTCTGGAGAAATATGTGAGGGGTGAAATGACTGAAGGAGTGAAAGGGTGGTGGCTGTCTTCAAATGGAGAGAAAAGAAGGCTCTAGTAAATTGTACATGAATCAGAAAAGTTTCTAAAGAACATAAAATGACAACTTCAGAGCTATCTAGGATTAAATTTAACATGTTTATATAACAAAGGAGATGATGGAACAATTATTATTTTAGATTATACTGTAAACTATCATCTGGGAAACATTGAAAATATCTGAACAAAACATTGCTTACAAAGTTTACATATCAACAAAAAGCAGTTTGTAATCAACATAACCGAAAGAAGCAATTAAAAAAAACAAAACTGAATAATGTTTTAGGACCTATTGGTATTTTTACAATACATTATGAAATCTTTCAAGAAAATTTGGTTAAACTATTAGGCAATGAATGAGAGTCAGGAACACTATAGAGCAGACACGTCAAACACAAGGCCTACAGGCCAATTCCGGCCCGCAATGGGTCCAGATTTGGCCCATGGGATCACCCCGGAGACGGCAAGGGACCAGCCCCAGCTGCCCCAACCCCGGCCCCTCAGCCCAGCTGGCCGCACCCCCATTGTGCACATAGGAGGCAGTGAGTATGCGAGGGCCAATGGTGTCTAGCAACAGCTGCAGCCTGCCAGTCCCTTGGCCGGGGACTCCGCAGCCAGCTGTGACCACTGGGCCGGCTCTCCAAGCAGCAGGCAGAGGCAGAAGTGCAGGGGGGGGGAACGCTCATGATCCAGCCTGCCTGATGCATCTGCTCTGCTCCACCTTCTATCTTTGCAGCTGCCATGGCTGAGATGTGGCAAGTGGCCACGTGGCCATCTGGTGGGCCGGATTGTGTGCCTCTCCCCCTGTGCCTCTGCCTTCACCTGCTGCTGGTGCCGCTGCTGCGCCTGCTGCTTGGAGGGCTGGAGGCAAAGAAGCAGGGGAGAGGTACGCGATACGGTCTGTCGGATGTGCCTGCTCCGTTCCACCTTCTGTCTTTGTGCAGTCATCCTCACAGCCATCAAAGTAGGATCCTCTGGTGGATCAGGCCCAGCACCCACCCTGGTCCCAACCCCTTCTGTCATAGACCCCTGGATTCCCCTCAGCCTCCTCACCCCCCAGGCACTCCCTGACACGAACAATGTCGAGCTCTTCATGTCCAACTTGGCCATGCCTACCCAGTCAGCCGCAATCACCACAGCCATGCCCTCCCGGCCCCCTTGAGGGCAACCACAATGCTGATGTGGCCCTCAATGAAATTGAGTTTGACACCCCTGCTATAGAGAGAACTTTTCATGTTTTTGATACACAGAATGAAATTATTTGACCCATCCAGAGTCATATGTCTTATTTCTTTATTGAATGTAGATTACAAGCTTTTTATGGCAATGCTTACAAAGAGCATAAATGTTTTTTTAAACAAAGTGATACACTCTGATCAGGCTGAATTTGTTCCAAAGAGATACATAAGAAAATCAGACATACTGTATCTGATGTTACCAATAACATGAATTTTCAAATCAGAAAGTAACTATAATTTTTCTTGATTCAGAGAACGATTCTGATAATTTGGAATGGTCTTTCATGCTTTCAGTTTTTAAAAAGATGAATTATGGCTCTATTCTTTTACACGTATACACAGTATGTAAAAGAATAAGAAGCCAGATAACAGTAAATAGTTTTCTTTATCAAAGAATGTAGTATATTGAGGATAAAGTTGTCCTCTCTATATCCTTCCTTGTCTCTATTGGTATTAGAGTCATTGGCAGTGAAAATAAGACAAGAAAGCAAAATTTTAGGAATCAAATTAGCAGCATAAGAAATACTTTGAAATTATATGGTTATAATATTGTATTTCCATACTCAAAATATTTTTTAGTATTAGTGGTAGACCATATATATAGATGTATATCAGGTTTTCAGATCCACGACAATAAAACTCAAATGCTGACTTAAAAACAGAGGGAAAAAGACAACATTTATACCTAAAAACATTACTGCAAAAAAGATGAAATATTTACAAATTTATTTGATAAAACCGTTATAAAAATAATTATTTACAGATTTAGAAGAATAATATAGGAGAGAAACTGACTGAGCCAGGTGGAGGAATCAAATGGGAACTTACCGGTAGTCTAGAATCCCTATGTGGGGGCATAAGAGGGTGAAGCCTGATCCCCCCTTGACTGAACCTTATCTGGTTTTACCCAGTTGCAAACTATCAGTCTGAGAAGATTCCTATGTATAGCTCGAGCAATAAAATAACTAATTGAATACTTCAGGTGTGGGTCTGGTTGTTTACACCTGACAAATATAATGCTAGACTTTTAAGAGTGGAGGCAATTGAAGTTGTTTTGGTTAGGAAGAATTGATAGCAGCTGTTAAAATTCTATTAAGACTTAACTTTCTGTTCTGAACAATTCCAGTAAATATTTAGAACAAATGATTAAATGATTGACATAAACAAGTAACAGATCACATATGGTGTAAAATCAAGGATTATTTTTGATATTCTTCAGTGTTCAAAAACAGGTAGATGGATTGGCAGCTACAATTCTCCAAACTGTGAATTGTATTACCAAGCTAGGTGCTTGATTTGGGTCATGATGATCTTATTGTCTTATGGCTCAAACACCTTTATGGAAAAGTAAGGAAGATCCAGATGGTCTAGATAAATATATCTGCATTTATAAAAACAGTGCATGCAATAAGAAGAGCATATTGAAAGTAGGAATAAATACAGAAAAAGAGTCAGTCCAGATTTATTCCCTCTTGCCTTTTAATATATTTAACATTTATTAAATTGTTTATTTACGTGTTGAGAACAGCATAAATAACTTTGTTCAGTGGAGAAATGATCCATGTAGATTGCAAGATTTGATTATCAATAAGTCAAAGAAAATCTTTTTGAGACTCCTGCAATGACCTAGTCTACCTAATTTCAGTATTTTTAAATATTGAATCTATATCCATCTATGTCTTTGTTTCAGCAGTGCATTTGAAAAAATACCCCACGATATTCTGACTTAACAGGCTAGTGAAGTGTGGACTGGATGGCATGAACATTAAGCTTGGCAATGTATTGTAAATGCTTTATTAATTGTTCCTCATCATTGTTGTGAAGAATTAAGTGGAGTGTCTCAGTTTCCATTCTGGACCCTGTACTAACCAAGATTCAATTATTTTAATGAGGAAGTGGAGGGAATATTCAGCACACTTACTAATAGCACAAAATTGTGTGGAATGACATGTATTCTAGAAAACAGAAATAAAAAGCAGAATGTTCTTGATAGATTAGAGAAATGGGTTGAAAAACAGTTCAGAAGTATGAGAGTACAACACCAAGGAGCAGAAACCATGTTTATTGCTAAGATTGTTGAGTGCCTGCTTTGCAAGAAAAAGGGACCAAAAGAATGCGAAAGCAAAGAGTTTTATAGAAATTGGGGACTACAAGATGGGGAATCCTAGCAATCTGATATCCTGGTCAGTTTGGGGAAGCTAGGAAGATCCTCGTCCATGTAACTGGAGTTATTTCTATTCTTAGGCAAAGTAGCTTTTAAGGAGTGCAGAAGAGCTGAGCAAGTCCATTATTAAAGTGATGGAATGTTGAGGTCATCAGCTGATGGAGGATGGATAGTTGTAGGTCTCTTCTTAGGGCTGCCCTTGCAATGTACTGAAAGTTGGTGAGGGGGCTTCTAGGTTTTGATCTAGATGTGATTATAGGAGGTTTTATCTGAGGGCAAGGAAAGTCAGTTTGAGTCTCATGGGATTAGGCAGATAAAGAAACTGGGTTTGACCCCGACCATGTCTAAAGGACAAGGAAGAAAAGGGTGCAGCCTCCATTTTATTTGCTACATTTATTTTCTCCACCTCAGTGAATGAAATTTAAAAGAGACATATACTGTACAAAAAATGTGATGGGACATCAAAGAGACCCTGGGAAAGTAGAGGAGAAAAGAGGGCCATTGCATCAGTTCCTCAGCTTGACAGCAAAGCAAAATCAATTAGCAGTTAATGTGTTGCACTTGGCTTGGTAATGGTGTTTGTGGAAGAGATTTTGGAATAGCATTTGATTACAAACTGAATATGATTCCACAATATGATATGGCTGCAAAAAAAAAGGCCAAATGTTATTTTGGCTTTATTTTATTGCTAGACAGCCATCTGTCTGAGGTACTTTAATTTAGATTCCTGCACTGAGCAGGAGGTTAGCCTCCAGGGCCTTAAAGGCCTTGGCTAACTCTGTGGTTTAAGATATTAGTATAATTAATACCAGAATAGATAGTTAAGACCATTCACAGGTGCTGAATTACAGTTCTTGTCCCAAAAGATCACTGGAGATGTCAGGACCTGAAACTAAATATATCTGGAAGACATTTAAATGTCTCTCTTGATCCAGAGTATAGATTTTATAGCATGCATCAAAAAAAAGATTTGACACGAAAATAAACATGATTCACAGGGGAATTTAGTTTATTTTCTTTTTAATCATCATCAACTCTATTATACTTTTAAGTTAATATAAACTTATTTGAGAATTTCTTTTCCATAGTAGTTCGAATTGCAGAAAGTGTCTACTGTTACAGTTTTCAATCTAGACATTCCTTAAATTATTGAGGCAGTATAGTTCAACCTGGTTGAGTTGCCTCCCTTTCTACTGTCTAAGAATTACCGTGCAACTTTTTTTGGGGGGGGGTGGAGGGCACTTCCCTCTTCCTTTTTTTTAAAAAAACTATTTTTTGCCTCTAAGCACTGCAGGCGGTGGTGATGTAGCATTTAAATGTGATGTTGTTTCCTGGTTTCTGGAGGTTTTTTCTTTTTACCTGAATGTGTGTTAAGGTAGTTTTAATTCACCTATTTGAAATTTTACAAAATCATTTTCAGAAAGACGAAGAAATTGTACAGCGTAAAATCATCATTTTGCCATACTTCAGGCAGTGAGATCCTTGCAAAGTTTTGTGTCCTTAGCGCAAATTTGGGGAGCTGTGATTTCCCCATCTTACTCTGTAAATCAAACAAATCATATAGTGTTATAATTCTGATTATAGAAACATGTGTAATTGAAACATAAGTTTCTTTTCTACAAGAAGCCACACTGGAGAGAAGTGTTGATTTAACCTCATTTTATATAAATATTTTATGTGGTTTAAAAAAAATAGATGTGGTTGAACATTAAAAGTATTGCAGGTATATATTGCCATCAATAAACAAGAATGTGACATTTACTTTTCTTTTGAGAAGTGAAATTGATGTGTGAACAAAGTATGCCCAAGGAAAATCTCTCCTTATAACTTTTATATTTTAAAGACTTAGAACACATTAGAAAATAGTTTTCTGTGTATATTCAGTTTCAGTTCCATTAAAATAAAAATGAATGAAATGTTTCTTCCAGTCAAGGAATCATATCTGCAATAGAACTGTGGGATTGCAAATAGCTCTGCATTGTTCAGGGCCATTAGAAATCCTTACACAATGGCTTTCAAAATTAAAAATAAGAATATTCTCTAATATTTTTTTCTTAGACACTGAACCTTTACCAGAATTGTCTAATATAAGGGTAGGAGTGGGGTGGTGAAAGTTCCAGAAGGGGGCAACCCAACGAGGAGGTAAATGGAACCACGTCAAAAATAAATTTTGATTTAATTAGATTAAATATAGTAATTTTAAAAAATATTTTCACAATTTTCAGGCTGAATATGTCCAACTTGTTACTGAGCTTCGAATGACGAGAGCCATTCAGCCTCAGATAAATGCTTTTCTTCAAGGTTTCCATATGTTCATTCCTCCTTCTTTGGTACAACTCTTTGATGAATATGAATTGGTGAGTAAAATTATATTGTGTGATTGAGCACCTTATGATTTATATAGTTCAGTGGTGGCGAACCTATGGCACGCGTGCCAGAGGCAGCACTCAGAGCCCTCTCTGTGGACACACAGGCCATGCCCTGGAGATGGCAACCATCCCTCTTCAACCAGCCGCCCACTAACTCGCCGAGGTCCCACATGGCCGGATGCATCCCAGCACCCATGCGCTCACTGGCCTCTGTGTGCTCTCTTGCCCTGTGACAATGGCACCCCCGCCCTGCCTCACCTCATCCCACAGGACGAGCCTCCTGCCCACCGCCCCACCTGGCAGAAACCCCCTGAATCTCCCCCAACCCTGCCTGGCCCCCACAGGCGTCCCTTCCCACGAGCAACATCGAGGTGATCACGCCCATCTTGGCCACTCCCACCCAATCTGCCATGACCACCACAGCCATGCCCACCCAGTGGGCCACACCCACCTGGCACCCGGCGATAAATAAGTGGATTTTGGGTTGCAGTTTGGGCACTCGGTCTCTAAATGTTCGCCATCACTGCTATAGTTAATAGTACAGAATGTAGCAACTTTGGAACACTGAACTTATTAATTTGGACAACAGTTTCACTTTATTTTGTTGAAAGTGAGTAGAATATTTTATATGCCTTTTTTGTAATCTAAATGTAATCTAAAGAACCAGGCACATGCTAGTACTGTAGTTTTCGGATTTCTGTGTTCAACAGTTGATCTTATATTGATTTAGAAATCCTATCATTCTGTGTCATAACAGAATAATGTTTTCAAAGGTGAATAGTCTTCAGAAAAATAAACCACTTTACAGCTAAAAATGTGACCAGTTTAACGTGTCATATTCATAACAAAATTTGGTTTCTCCTTTTTTTTTTAAAAGGAATTGTTGCTTTCAGGCATGCCAGAAATTGATGTAAATGACTGGATTAAAAATACAGAATATACAAGTGGCTATGAAAGAGATGACCCAGTTATTCAGGTAAAGTATGGGATGGATTGCTACAGCTATACATTTCAACCAGTTGCCCCCCCCCCCCCGTTTTTAATATATTACCTGTCTTTCCAGGCTGTTTACGTTTTGTGGAAATGAGGCACAGTGAGACTGGTTTGAATTTACCAAAATACAATTTTCATAATGTAGTCATATTTGTATCTGCTTATTAATGAGAATTTGCAGGACAGATTTCAAAACCGTTTTAAAGAAGTAAAACGTGGAAAGAAATCCATATTAGCACAGTGAAAAAATTAAAAATGAAATTAAAAAAATGAAATGTGTGTGTATGGGTACGTGTATCTAGATATCGATCTTTTTAGTGTATTATGGGAATTAAATATTAAGAATAAAAATGCCCCCCAAATAATATTTTAGCATTATAGCAGAGAGGCCCTTTCATCTACCTGCATACTTTCATTTTGCAAATAGTTCAGAATTTGAAAAGTGATTGCAATGAATCTGGCCTGAAATGCATTCAAAAACTCTGCTGCTTCAGAGTATTACGTATTTGTATTGGCAACCAAAATGAGTACCTTAGAAGCTACATATGGTTACATGACATTTTCAAACTATGTTCAAAACTATCATGCCTTTTAGTAAGAAATTGCCAGTTTCTGCTCGCCCAGAAAGAATTGCAATTGATAAAAACTTCCTAATAATTGAGAGTGCCGGGTCTTCCAGTGATAATGGAAGATGTCTAGGAACATCCCAAACTGCATTCACGCCCCTGAAGAATTTTGTCTTAATTTTTTTAAGATCATTACATAATATATAAAGGTTATATAATATAATTACATAGCATATGATATACAGTTGTATTGTAATTGTAACTTGTACTAACTATGCCATCATGTAAGAAAGTAATATAATTATAATCGTATAATTGAGTTAGGTTGATAAATTAGCTATTAACTTCTGTTTTGAAGATTTATGTTTATAATTTGAAACTCGTTCAACTTTTGGCTTGCATCTAGCAGCTAAATTTCTGAAGAAACCTGAACAAAAACAAATTGATTTATTTTTCTTTCTAGTGGTTTTGG